CTTTACCCTCGGAACAATTTTCCTTTGATAGCAAACCCGTGCAGAGCAGATATGCTTAAGCAAATGTGCAAATAAACATTGGATTTCAGAGCCGACAAAACCGACCGCTTTGTTCCTCCCCAGGCACGTCTGTGAGTGTATCCACTTTTAATCTGGTCGCCATATCTCTGGAGAGATACGGTGCGATTTGCAAACCCTTGCAGTCCCGGGTCTGGCAGACGAAATCCCACGCTTTGAAGGTGATCGCCGCTACCTGGTGCCTCTCCTTTACCATCATGACTCCGTACCCAGTTTATAGCAACTTGGTGCCTTTTACCAAAAACAACAACCAGACGGCGAACATGTGCCGCTTCTTACTGCCAAGTGATGTGATGCAGCAGTTCTGGTAAGGTTACCAGGTGTCCATTTGTTTGGTACAACTATTGAAGTTTTTATAAAAACTCGGATGTATTGTCCAGAGTGCCTAGGGGGTCAGTTTCCTGAAAACATTTGGAGAAGAATCATTCTAACCTCTTTCTAGGACAATAGTGATAGCAGACACACAGTGCTCTGTTTTAAATGCCATGTGTATGTTAATTCGATTGATCCTCTCAAAACCTAGGTACTATTATTGTCCCCATTTTACAGATGAGGAAACTGAGACGCAGAGAGGTTAAGTAAATTGTTCAGTCCTCAGCCTCGCTGAGCCAGAGCCTCTGTGCTGTCCACTGTGCAGTGTGTTTCCGGATCGCCTAGTGGGGGTTCAGGCTTGATGATTGGGCGGCTATGATTCTCTAAGAATGGAAGATGGAGTGAGGATGAGTCTTAGACCCCGTGTGGTTTTCTTAGAGCTGCAGGGATGATACTTGCACAGAGCACTTGACTGCAAATAAAAGGCAAGATTCCAAACCTGTTTCTTTGCTGGGTGACGTGGGACAAGTTTACGTAAGCTCTCTGAGGTAGAAGTTCTGTATCTCTACCAGGGTTTCGTGATACAGATCTTTTTTATCTACCTCATCGGGTGGCTGTCAGATTCCAATAAGAGTGTGTGTATAAAAATGTCATTAAATATCTTTCAAAAGGCTACACAAATGCAGTGTATTATGCTTACTAATTCAAAGCATGTTTTACAAGCAGGGAGCTAGACATTTAAAAATGCTCAGAACTGAGATAATCTGCTTTCTTTGCCTTCCTTTTTTTTTTTTTTTCATTTCAACTCAGTAACACACACACACACAAGAATTATGTTGCAAATGAGAGGGACTTGAAAAGAAATCTTATCAAAACATGTCCAATTGAAATGAGAAATGGCCCGGCCACCATGAGCCTCTGACAATTTTATGGCCTCGTCACGTAACCTTACACATGCCAGGCTGCAGTGACTGAGGGGCCAGACTCATAAAAGAGGAGGCCATGACATTCAGGAAGCAAACGTGTTTAGAGAAAGCACAGCTGTGCCCACCAGGCACCCAAGTGGGCACACCCCGTGCCAATGTGCCACAGCCAAGCCAGAATGCCATATTTTGCAAAACAAAGTAGGCTTGTCATCATACCTACCTGTGCTGGTGATTATTCAGTTGTCACAAAGTCAACAGATGGCATAGTGATATTCTTAAGAGCACAGGTTCTAGAATCATATTGCTTGGGTTCGAATCCCACCTTTGCCACTAGACAAGTTATTTAAGTCTCAGTTTCCTTACTGTAAAGTAGGCCTTATAATACTCCCTACCTCAAAGATTATGATGGGATTAAATGTAATAATAGCTATAGAAAATGCTTACCTAGTGTGTAACACATTTAATAAGTCCTCAATGAATGTAAGCTCTTGGGTTTGTTTTGTTGTTGTTGTTGCTGGTTTGGGGTTTTTTTGGTAACAGCTTTATTAAAATAAAATTCACATATTCTTTTTTTAAGCTCTCATTTTATATGTAGACTTGTCTCAGGCACAAAACATTTCCAATTTAACAAGTCCTTCGTAAGAGACTTTATCAGAAAAAAAAAAAGAAGTAAATAACTTCTAATGACTGAACCTCCACACATGGAATTTCCAAGGATATGAAATGCTGGTAATGACTGTGTTTGCCCTGAACAGTTTGAGTGGAGATGAACCTTATTGATTCCATCCCATCTGCGTTGGAAATACTGGATTGCCGGTTATTGGATTTCTTTTTATCTCATTAGGCACACGTTCCTGTTGCTCATCCTCTTTCTTATTCCTGGAATCGTGATGATGGTGGCGTATGGATTAATCTCTTTGGAACTTTACCAAGGAATAAAATTTGATGCTAGCCAGAAGAAGTCTGCTCGAGGTAACTGTCTTGTAGCTGTATGTTTATGCCAAAAGATCACACAGCTTGGTTTCTGTAACTTAACTAGACATCCCCACGGTCTGATGGAGATTTTCAGACTGTGGCATGAGGCACAGTCTCGAGAGGAGCATCTCTGGTTCCTCATCTGAGCAATGGGGAAATCATTCCTCTCCCCAGGGCGCTGAGTGGAATAACAGGAGATAATACACACAGACCCCAACGGGAAGCCGAGGCCCACGTGTCCCAGACTTTCTGTAATGTCGTATTCAAACAGACCCCCTTCAGCCACTAAAGCTCATTGTAACCCCAGTCCGCCAGCCTGTCCCCTCCCTTCACTGTCCCATAGGAGTTGCCACCAAGCCTCACCCCGTCCCCATCCATTACAACCCACTATGCACTGGAATTCATCCCAACACCTTTGCTGTCATAACTTTTCCCCTTGCTCACTCCACCTCTTCGCCTCGCTCTTTCCCTCGTGTGTAACTTGGTCTCTCCGGCCTCTTTGGTTTTCGTTGATTGTTGCTCACTGTCTAGATTCCTCGTGTAAAAGCAGTCTGGAGGCTTAGCAAGCGAGCAGCAATCTTTCCACCAAGGAGCCAGGGAAAGAAGGACAAGAGTGTGAATATTCATTCTTCAATCATTTTTAAAAATATACATTTTTATTGACTTCAGAGAGGAAGGGAGAGGGAAGGAGAGATAGAAACATCAATAATGAGAGAATCATTGATGGCTGCCTCCTGCACGCTCCCCACCGGGGATTGAGCCCACAACCCAGGCATGTGCCCTGACCAGGAATCCAACTGTGACCTCCTGGTTCATAGGTCGATGCTCAACCACTGAGCCATGCCGGCCCTGCCTCTTCAGTCGTTTTTAAGCCTTAGAATCTACCTATATAAAATGCTGTTTTATTTTGTATATTATGTACTAGTATGTCATATATCGCATAGGTTGTTTTATTAGTTTTATGTGGCTTCTCATTGGTAGGGAAAGGTAGTATAGATCAATGCTGGCCCATGTTGCCTGCCCCATCCTTCCGTTCAAGGCGGCATGGCCCGACCTGAGCAATAAGTGGTGTCCTTGCCCACGCAGAGAGGAAGGCGAGCACCGGCAGCAGCAGCGGCAGGTACGAGGACAGCGACGGCTGCTACCTGCAGAGGCCGCAGCCCCGCCGGCAAGCAGCAGCTCCGCCACCAACCTGCTGGCCAAGAAGCGGGTGATCCGCATGCTCATGGTCATCGTGGCGCTCTTCTTCCTGTGCTGGATGCCCATCTTCAGCGCCAACGCCTGGCGCGCCTACGACCCGGCCTCGGCCGAGCGCCAGCTCTCGGGGACGCCCATCTCCTTCATCCTCCTGCTGTCCTACACGTCCTCCTGCGTCAACCCCATCATCTACTGCTTCATGAACAAGCGCTTCCGCCTGGGCTTCCTGGCCACCTTCCCCTGCTGCCCGCACCCGGGGCCCCCGGGGGGGCGGGGAGAGGCGGGGGAGGAGGAGGGCAGAACCACCGGGGCATCTCTGTCCAGGTACTCCTACAGCCACATGGGGGGCAATGCCCCCTGAAGGCAGAAGGGAGCAGGGGTGCTGAGGGAGGGAGAGAGGAAGAAAGCAGGAGCCAACAGTAGGCAAGGAAGTGAGAGAGAAGAGAGGCTCCCTTCCAGGGGGAACTAGCCACGGTTGCTCCTCATCCTGCCTCCTGGTGCTGGGATGGGGCCCTGGCTTGTTTTCTTGAGTTCAAGGCAGGACATTTTCCCCTAACATCCTCAGGAGGAAACCTCAGCAGGCGGGGCACTGAGTCCAGCAGGGTTCATGCTGCCAATGTAATTGCCAGCACACATTCCACCTGGGGGGGAGGGGGCCTCCTGAGCTTTAGAAGGTTCCAGGCTATCAAAGGTGGGCTCTCACTCATGTGACACACTTCTAGACTCTGCTGATGGGGAGTTGGGGCAGCTGCTTTGCCCCTGGGGAGTCTATCCCTCATGTGTGTTCTCTAGTCACCCCCTCATCGTGACCACAGAAGGGAAGAGGGAGCAACCCCTCCCCTGGCTATTTTCTGTAGTAAGAGAGCAGCTTGACTTTATCTTCTTGAGGTCCGTCTAGGACGTGCAGAGACATAAGTGTGTGCTGTCATCAGAATAGCACAAGAAACTGTCTCAGAGACAGAATTTGGAATTCATGTTTCCCAAATGAACAGAGAATACCAGGCAAAGCAGCTGGATCAAATGGTACCCTGCGATAAGGAGTAGTGAGTGCCAGAAGGCATGTAGAATTTTTGTCCACATTAATGCTATCTATTGCTTAATTCCACTTTCATATGGTGATATTAAGCCCCGTGGCTTCTTTGCCTCAAATTAATTTTTCTTACTCATCTGGCACTTCCTCTGTTTCAGAAAGACCTTCGGGTTACGAAGGAGAGTTGTACACTCCGCGTGCCTGGCCCAGCGTGGAAACACGCGTAGTCGGGCCCAGAATAAAAACTGGCATCCTTGGACTCCGTTAACAAAATAGCTTTTGAATTCGAAGCTGCCTATGCCTTTAAGTGCAATCTACCCTTTTGCTAATAATTGTATTGATTTTACGTACATGTGTAAACTGAACATACATGTTCTTTATATATAAGTATATTCTTTGGTGAGTGTTTAAAAAAGAAAAGTATATGGATGCTGGAATTCAGCAGTGTTATAATTTTACATTTCTGTGCAACAGTTGGAGTTTCATGTGATCATCTTGTCTTTGCAAAATCAGTGTTGAAATCTCTCTCCTCCAATTTACAAATCTCAAAAGATAAAGATGTGAGCTCTACATTTAGATAACAAGAAATGCCTTTCTAGACTAGAATGTGTCAGTCCAGCCTACCAGCACTTCTTTCTTTTGCGGGGTGGGGGCCACACTGTCCTGTCTGCTTAAATAAATTAACAGGCATTTTTGACTAAAACAAGTTTACATGCTAGCGTAGGTAAAACAAAACAAAACACAAAGCAAGCTATAGCTTCCATGGCTCCGAGCATCTAACAAGTGAGCTTTTTTTTTCTTCTCTTTTTTCTTGTTTTCATGGGGCCTGACATGTTACTTCTTAGTACACAAGGGCCAGTGGTTTCAATTATTGAAAAAAAAATCACTGTGGAAGAGAGAAAGGGAGGAGAATGGCAAGAAGTGATAATGAATGGGGGTAGGGACGTTGTCTAATTTAAGAAGATAGGAGTGTCACCATTTGTTTTTTGGGGGGGTGAGGGGATGGTCACATACTAATGGACAAGAAATTGGAGGACATAACTATTTATCATAGGAGACTTTTCAAGTCAGATGTTCGTTTTTTCTATTCCTCAGACTGCAATATAATGTTAATATTCATAACCAGTCATCTCAAAGATTTCAAAGTAAAAATTCAGCTGCTAAAATGGTAATTATAAAAGGAGTAAGAAATTGAAAATGTCTATAATATTTGAGTAAATCCTACAAAATCTACAATTTTTCTACTAGAAGAAGCCTTCCCCTCTGACAGTGTTAGCATATAAATGAAGATAAATGAGGCCCCCCATTCTTGGAAACTCTGGAATTTCCAACGGTGTAATAACCTAAGAATAGGTTGCTAGATTTAGCAAATAAAAATACAAGATGTTTGATTAAATTCTAATTTCAGATAAAGTACTCATGCTAAAATATTTTTTAGTGGAAGTATTCATGTCCCATGCACTAAACACATTCCTATAAAGTAATTTTTGACTCACATAAAAATATAAACAAGATTTCCCAGATATAGACCAATAAAATACCCCCTTCACTAAATTTCTTGGAAGGTCTTTCATGCAATAAAAGCTTTTTAAAAATAAAATAAGAAAAATACTATTAACTTTCTGAACCTGTGCCTGACCTTTGGGAATGGTAGTATCAACAGGCTGATTTTACTGTTAAATTTATTCATTTTTTGTTAATCCTCACCTGAGGGTATTTTTCCCATTGATTTTTTAGAGAGAATGGGAGGGGAGAGACAGAGAGAGATATACATCGATGTGAGACGCATCAATTGGTTGCCTCCCACACGCACCTGAGGGCTGGGGACCTAGCCTGCAACAGAGGTAAATGCCCATGACAGGAATCAAACCTGGGACCCTTCAGTCTGCTGGGCGATGCTGTAACCATTGAGCAAACCAGCTAGGGCTCTTAAATTAAAAACAAAAACATAAATCTACGCTAGTATTTTGTTGAGTCAACTGCCTTTATTTCATGCCAAAGTGGATCACCAATTTGAATTTGAAATACAGTGACCAGTAGAGTTAAGAAAATAGATTCACCAAGTTTCTGGTATTTTCTAGTGTCTTCTGGTAGCTCCCACTTGTTGGCAGAGTGGCAAGTTACAACTTGAATGTATCTCTGATCTTGTTAAACCATGTGTCCCAGTGGCTTCCTCACCCTGGTTACTGCAGTGATCTCTCACTATAAACGTGTAGTGGTGAATGCACAGAGCATGCATCTATGTGGTTAGTTACACAGGTTTGTGTGTGCTTAACAGCTATCTCCTCCATTCGGTTAAAATGTAATATTCATGAGGCCAGTGACAGTAGCTGCTAAACCCCCACTGTATTTCCTTCCAGTGTTTTGCCCGGTACTCTGCACAAATAGTACTGGGTGCTCAATAAATCTTGTGCCTGAGTCTGCTCTGCCTCCGGTGCTTTTGGGGGGCTCTCTTTCCATCCATGGTGGTGATTCTCGGCAAGGAGGGCACATTCTTGGGGCGGGGACAGCACCAGAATTTCTAGAGGGCTTTTTCCAACTCTGCATGTATACCCACCCAAGATTCGGCTGTGTGAGCATTTGCAGCCATCTCTCCCTCCCCTTATTCTGTGTAACTGGAGCTGTTACTAATGGGAGGGTGTTGTGCCTGTGAACAGTGTAAGACACAGATAAAAAAAAAAAAAGTGTTGGGGAAAAGGACAAATACTGTAGATTCCACTCAGACGAAATATCTGAAGTCATCAAAATCATCAAAACAGAGTGGAAAGGTGGTTACTTAAGTGGGAGGAGGTGGAGGGGGAGTAGTTTTGGTGAGTACTGTATAGCGTTTCAGTGTTGCAAGATGAAAAACCTCTGTTGTACAACAATGTGAAGATGCTTAACACGAGTGAACTCTACACTTAAAAATAGTTAAGGTGGTAAATTTCTATATTATGTGTTTTTAACACGATTAAAAGGGGGGTGAGTCTGTAGTATCCCTCTGCTTTGCTCCTCCCTGCCTTTTCCCTTTAGGACAGCATTAAAATGCCATGACCTCCTTTACTAACCACAAATGCCTCCTCTGAGGGAAAGAGGATGTCCTCTAGCCTGAAAGTCCAGAACTCTGTGTCCAAATCTTAGCCCCGTCACTACCTTGTTGTGTGGCTCCAGGCAGGTCACACACCCTGTCTGGGCATCTGTTTCCTTGTGCAAAATGAGAGGTTGTTGCTTCATCTCTGTGTGATCAGTGGATCAGAATTTGCTATGTCCCTTGATTATTCCAAGCTTCCCTTAGTTCCATGGGCATCCCATCAACTTTGCAATCAGAGAGGCCCCCTGACCCCCAAGCACATAACCATCTCTGAGGAGGACTTGACTTCCAGGACAGCCCCGAGGGAAGGCTGTCAGGGCAAGAAAGGAGAGGCCCACGGAGGAACCTGAGGGCTCTCAGCCCCTCGGTCACCGCTGCCCAGAGCAGCTTCCAGGAGGCTAGTCTCTGGACCACCAGCTGCGTGCCTGTGGAAATGTGGGCATAAAACTCACTCCCACAGTGAATTTGGCCTGGGTGAGATGGCAAAATCGTTATTAAAGCCGGCTTGGTGCACTGTGCAAGTTGCTGGTGACAGCAATCACTCATAGAAGGGATGGATGAATGTCTACTCATTATAGTTTCTGATTTAATTCTCAACATGAGGCATCATGTTCCACATCTCACAGGTAAGGAAATTAAGGCTCAGGGGAGCTGGTACATTCCAAGGTTAGGGAGCTAGGAAATGACAGGGACAGGATGGAGCCCCATTCTAATGCCAGCAGGCTGCCAGCAGGATTAGGTGACACTTAGCAATCTAAGGAATCAATAGCTGGCGATTTCCCTTCCTGCGATGCTTCTCAGCTCCTCATCCTCCGCTACAAGGTCCCCAAGGAAGAGATACCCATCTCTGTCCCCACCTTCCCCCTCCCTCCAGGAC